GTTTAAAGAGACTTTTAAGAGGACATCCTACCACATGGCTGGCATACAAGGCTGTCTTGGCTCCCTTCAACTGTGAATTAGGTTAACAGCCACCTCAAGCTTCTTAGAAACCTAGAAATCCCCAGGCAGTTAGAGAAATTCCATGGAGCTAAGAAAACCTTTGCAATCTCCGAGCTTTAACCAGAAAACGATATTTCCCAACATCTTCTTTTCTCCATCTGTGGGACTTTGTGTAATTTACTCCCAGCCTCGTAAAACATGGGTGCCCCATAATCTGTCCTTCCCAATGCACAAAACTCATGTCTGAGATCCTGTAGACCAGGAAATGAACAAAGAGCAAAGCCGTATTTTCACCTTGGAAAATACCAGGTTATTGTGCATGGAGTTTCTTCTAAAACCAAACTCATTCCTCCGCCCGATAGAGGGAACTTTGCTTGCTTTAAAGTTTACCAAAGTAGTCCCTTCTGAGCCTCAACTTCTCCTTTATGTGGAAGCAAAATTCCTTTGATCAGAGACCAGTCCAACAGAATGCCATCATCCTTACACTTGGGGCTTTTAAATGCTTGTACTTGCTTCATCTGTGCTGTGGAAGGTACCCGATGCAAAACCTCTGAAGCCCAGGGGGCCCTGGGGAGGAGGCTGACTCTAGGGAATTGGACTCCGCTTCTCCCACATTACAGAGGTTGCAAATCTACCCTCAAATATTCAACACATATGTTCTGAAATTCATTAAGTCCAAAAATTAAGAAACAAATTTTTAAAATCCAGCATTGGTTCTTGTACAAAGCAGATAGTCAAGAAATGCTTGTTGACTGTTTAATTTGTTAGCTGATAAATGTGAGAAATACAGTCTGCTATGTACCACCGGACAGCTGATGTTGCTGGGAAGACATTTGTCTCGTTTGCCATTATGCAAGTTTGAGAAAATGAATTAGCCAAACCCTGCCTGTGTTTGAAGAACAACCTTTATCCAAAGGTCTTCTTAAAACTCTCCTCTTTATTATTTGGGGATGGGGAGGACACAAATGTCACTTGGCTTTAAATTGTCTATTAACTTTTTATTATCTCCAAATAAATTCTCAAAGGGAAGAATTTTGGCATAATATATATTTTCGTATATGGGGGGGGGGTGTCTTTCATGATCCAGGATTCTTGCTCAAAGCAAATACTAAGTAATTGTTGACCATGAACATTAGAATTATAGTTTGGTTTGTATCATATGGTAGCTAAGCTTGCAATACACAAAAAGTATAATTCTCTGCTACTTTCCTATACTTAGAAGATATATTATTTTAAAAAATCTTTTTCTGTGATTTCAAGGTAGTTTTGGATACCAGTACTTAAATATTTATGCGGTAAGATAGCAAGTACATAAATATTATCACCACATATATTGCAACATGGCTGTGATATTTTCTGTTGCTTGATGGAGACATTGGCTAATTCCTAATAGGCCTCATGACAGCTGTTTCTATAGTAGATGGAGCAGTCTTAATTATAATTACTTCATCTTTGTAGATGAAGTAATTAGTCTTTTCAGAGTAGAGTATTACCCCTTCCCCACGGTTCACTTTTTGTGTATTTAGTTACTTATAGTCCTGTGGTCCCAAAATACTAATATTTGTCTTAACTCTTTTTGAGGTGTGTGTGTGTGTGTGTGTGTGTGTGTGTGTGTGTGTGTGTGCGCCTAGGAGAGAAAAGACGGAGACTGCATTCACATAATTTTTATTAAATATATTGTTATACTTATTTTATTATTAGTTACTGTTGTCAGTCTCTGACTGGACCTAATTTATAAATCAAACTATATCAAAGGTATATAAATGTGGAGAAAAGCACAGTATATAGAGAGTTTGGTACTATCTGCAATTTCAAGTATTCACTGGGGGTCTTCAGATGAATCCCCCCAAGATAAGGGAAGATGTTGTACAAGATCTAGTCTATGATGCTTTTTTGTACTGAAGGAAGGAAGAAAGAAAATTTTTAAAAAGTAAAAGAAGAAACTCTATTAAAAGTGTCTATATATGTGATTTAACTGTTTATTAATACAGATATGAACATACTAAAAATGTCAATATAGTATATTTAAAAGAAAATAAAAATCATCCCCAGAAATATAATTTGAGGATCTTTCTCTCCTAAGACTTGGTTATCAATAACCACTTTACCCAACTCTGACTTCCAAGTCTAAGAAAAACTCAGTCTTTCAAAATTAGAGACTTCTAAGTAGTTCTGTAACTTAGTGGCACCTTCAGTGGGGATGCTCTTCAAGAAGGAAGCCTAGGAGATGGGCATCTGTAGATGCTGGTTCTGGTCACAGCTAGGCCACTAGCTAGGCCACATCATTTAGTGGTCCTTGCCCTGGACTCTGCAGGCATCACCTCCCTCTGTGCATCACTCTATCAAGGTGGGGGCTGTTTATTTTATTTGCACAGGGCTGGTACTTGCATGATAAGTGCTCAATGCTTTTTTGCGGATTAAGTGACTTACTATATCAGCTTTATGAAATCAACGCATAGTGCCACTTACTGTGTGAAGAACCTGAAGTGGGAAGAGAAGAAGGAATTGTTTGAAGACTCAGTAGAGTCTGACCCAAACTGCTGCCTCCTTGGCCAGTGTCTGTGTGGAGCAGCCCTTACCGGGGCACCACCCTCCTCATTATGTCTGAGGGCTATCTTCAAGGGTAAACTTTCCTTTCGCTGGCAGGTTAAAGAAACTCTTTCCATCCCTTGAGACTTAGCTAAAAAGGCTAAACCATCAAGACCTATAAAATAGTGTTTCCCTGTGACCTTCTTTCTAAATCAGGAAATGGTTACTTAGGCCCCATAAAGCCAGCTCAGAACTCAACCTCCTCCTCCTTTATCAAGACTTCCTTGACTTGGAAAGTGGTTTCTATGACAAGAAGTGTGCCAACAGTTTTTACAGGCGCCAAAGCCTCCACCTCTTTCTTAAAGGAGACAGGACTTTTTCTTCTCCAGAACTTGATGATATGGTTAAACAAAACCCAACCCTTATCAAACAATGGTACACCACAGGTTCCTCAGAGTATTCTAGAAACCTTGCCATATCTTAGATTTTTAACATATTACATCAAACATGTGACATAATTGTTTACTATCAATCATCACATAAATATTCTACTCAAAGACCAAAGATTTCTAAAGAGGTAGACAGTAAGCAGAGAGTAGCAAAAACTTACTACATATAACTTCTTAATTAAGTAAATGTATTATGTTTACAGCAGCCCACAGTTATAACAAGACCTGAAATAGCACATGACTCCCCAATCCAAAACCTGTGTTATAGTGAAATTTAGTACAATAGGATTCCTCATATGCAATAATTTTACCAGATGAATCAAGAGAAATATTGGTACATATTGATCATTTTTACTGAATCCACACAGTGACAAAAATCAATGGAAAGAATTTGGAGGGAAACTAGTAGTAGATTAATTACTCTGTGATACCAATGGAAAAATTCCTGAATCTGGGTGGATGGGTAGATGGGGTGCATTGATAAATTAATATAAACACATTTATAATGCTGCAGTTGAGATTACAATATTATCCAGGAAGCTGCCATGCATTCATATTAAATAAGATATTATATGTAAATCACACTACCCAATGTTTGGCATGTGACTTTGGTTTTGTTTTAGCCGTAGTCACTGATTCCCACCGAGGCTCTTAGGAGGAAAGCTTATAATAAAATTATAAAATTGGATATCACCCCTGGTTTGACCATGTTTATCATTAGTGGAATTTATTTTGGATCTATGTTAGAGATGAATTTATTTCTATGTGAACCTCATAAAACACAACTGTCAAATAGGTCCTCTCCTCCATGCCCAGCCTACTGAAATGTCACTCATTCTGCAAGGCTTATCTTGAACGCTACCTCCCCCATTAGGTCTTTCTTGATCTCTCCTCGTAAACAAACATTTTCTTGCTGTATCAAGCCTTAAAAACATTTGTTCTTGCCCCCCAGATGATACTTACCTGGCTCTGCCTGTTTTATTACTATCTCTTTGCTTTATCCCCTATTAGATTTTAAGGCCCTTGAAAAACAGGGATCAGCCTTATCTTTATATTTCCTACAGGCTGAGCACAGGGTGTTGAACTTAAGAAGCTCAATAAAAGTGTGTTGAGTTGCAGTGAATCGTGACCCTCCCTGGCTACCAGGCCCTCAGCCAGCTTTGGAGTGCAGGACACAATAGGTCCTTGTATTCACTGCTGTGCACACCCACAAACATACACTAAACACCTGCAAACACAGGGACACTCAGTTACTTGGCAAATACTTGCCCTCCCAGGGTGTCTTCCCTTTTGAAGAGTCTTCTCTGTCTGACAGCTGGCCTGCTGCTCCTTAGATGGGCACTCCCTGGAAAGGCCCATCTCTGCAGAAAATGGCCAAAAATCACCGCACCAGCAACCAAGGGCAGTGAAGGGTGAAGAGTCAATGCCAGGAATGTGCTTTCAGGCTTAAAGATGAGAGGGAAACTGGGGAGCATTGCAAAGGGGGCAAATGTCCTTGCATTTGCACTGATGCCTCCTCCCTATCCCTTCCTGGTCCCTTCTCGTGTCCTTCTTGACCCTTCCTTCTCCTTCCCCTGCACCCAATCCTCCACTGTCATTTGGTCTTGCAGAGCTTGGAATTCAATCTTAATCCCCAGGGAGGGGCATCCGCTCTGGGGAGGTCACGACTGTCTCCCACTTCCTCTGTGGGATGCTCTCACAAGATGCTGTGGCGGCAAAGCTTGCTGCTCTTTATTAAATACAAATTGTACTGACCAGTTTCCAGGAAATTTAGTGGAAAGTTGATTCCCCCCAAACCCTCAAGACATTTCCCAGATCCGGAGAGGATTATTATTATTGCTATTATTATTTACAAAGCCCACATCTTTAAAAAAAAAATTTTTTTTCCTTAAAAGAACAAGGTAGAGCAAGTATAAGCCTGCAGCTTCCAGAATATGTGCTGACATCCTGCTTTCTTCACAGGAATAAAATAACCTGGCAATTCTGTTTGGACGGCAAGATAGAGGGGAGCTGGCCTCTTCTGGAAGTCCAGACAGGTTGCCAGATTTGGCAAATGAAAACATGGGATGCCTCATTGAACTTGAATTTCAGATAAGTAATGCAAAATGTTTCAGTGTAAGTATGTCCCGTGCAGTAAGTTTCAGTGTAAGTATGTCCCATGAAAACATTTTTTTTTTATCTGAAATTCAAATTTAACTGGTCATCCTTTATTTTACCAGGCAAACCTAATCCCAGAGAAAGTCAGGACAGTGAAGAGATTTCCACCAACAAAAGCTTCTTTGAAAGCCCTAGCTGAATGGCTTTGGACGACATTTCAACTCAGGCTCTACATTTTCCCTGGAGTGTGAGCTCGATGTCATAGAATAACAATTGGGAGAATGAACATTCAGTGAACATTCTGCCCCTTCCCTGCCCTCCGCAGCCTGTGACAAAATGCTCTCTCTTAACCAGCTGAGGAGTAAAAAAGTTTTCTCTTTAAAGATATTTTTCCCCTCCGCTTTCACTGTTTCTTGGATTTGCTGGATAACTGCTTTTGCTAATTGTTTGCAGACCACAGCCCAATTTGGCCTGCCAACTATGGAGGCGTGGTGGTGGGCTTAATGATAAACAGTAAGGAGATTAAATCAAGTAGTCCTGGTTTGGGATTCCAACTCTGCTACGTCCTGCCTGAGAAACATCAGATAAGTTGCTTAACTTCTCTGGCCCTCAATTTCTGCATCAGTAAAATGAGGGGCTCATGGAATTGCATGGAGTTACTTAAGATTGAAGCAGGCAGTACTTGTCTCAGTATCTGGCACATAATTGATACTTTATTTTTTTTTTTTTGTACTGGGATCAAACCCAAGGACACTCAGCCACTGAACCACATCCCCAGCCCTTTTTATATATTATTCAGAGACAAGATCTCTCTAAGTTGCTTTGCACCTTGCTAAATTGCTGAGATTGGCTTTGAACTCCTGATCTTCCTGCCTTGGCCTTCTGAGCTGCTGGGAATACAGGCATGTGCCCCCATACCCAGCGATACTCTTTTAATATTAGTCTCGTCAGACATGGTGGCAAACACCTGTAATCCCAGTGACTTGGGAGGCTGAAGCAGGAGGAACGCAAATTCAAAGCCAGCCTCAGCAATTCAGTGAGTCCCTAAGCAACTTAGCAAGACACTGTCTCAAAATTAAAAAAAAAAAAAAAAAGGAAGGGATGTGGCTCAGTAGTAAAGCACCCCTGGGATCAATTCATGGTACCAAGGATATATATACACACACAAACACATTATTTTTTTCTTTATTGTGTCACACATCACAGGTGACACTTAGAATTGAGTCTGTCTGAGTCTGAGACTTGGAAACACAGGAACACAGGTTCTAGAAGATTATTAAGTCCTTGGATTGGAGGAAGGGATAGCTTGGTTGAAAGATGGCTCCATCACCCCCACTCCTGAGGACCTGGTCTTGTTCCGTCCTGCAGCAGCCTGGTGAGCTGATGACCTCCAAAGCCGATCATCCGATTACCAATGGACTTGGATTAGATCACCAAAAATTTACCCATACTCAGAAGGCTACTTTAAGAAGTAGGAGGAAGCAGGAGAGAAGAAGGAGTAGATGGAGACAAAAAGAGAATGTCTGGACTGTGTGTTTATGGGAATCCTTGTCTACATGGGCATGGAGGCCACATGTTTGGGGCAGTTGTCTGGGTGCCATTTTTCTGGTGGTTGTTCAGGTTCCCTCCCCTCAAACCTCCTTTGGTGGTTCAGGTTCAACTGAGGCCCAGGTAATCTAGGCCTAAACCCATCAGATCATCAGATCCCCTTGACCAAGACATGGGTGGAAAGGTGGACACAAGATTCAAATGGAGCTGATCAACCTCCAGGCTTTATGTTATTTGGTGATAGAGTCACAACTTGCCTCCCTGGCTCCTAGTACTTGATCTTGGAATCAGCCCATTCGTAGCTTCTGGCACTCTTTAGGCCAGTCTCAACTTGCTTATTTACCACCATTCAGGGGTTTCAGCCTTCAGCCCCTAGCAACCCTGACATGCTTGTTCCCAGTTGTACTGCCTTACAGGGAAATTGTCACTGGCTGATTATGTACAAGTGATTACCTGGCCCTGTGCTGAGAATTTCACTCCATGAAATAATCCAGCAAACCCATTTTACAGTTGATATGACTGAGACTCACAGGTTGCCATAACAAAATCCTACAGACTGGGTGGCATAAGCAACAGAAACTTGTTTCCTCATGGTTCCAGAGACCAGGAGTCAAGAGATCAAGGTGTTAGCAGGGTTGCTTCTTCAAGACCTCACTCCTTGGCTTACAGTGTGTCTTCATGTGACTTTTTGTCTATACAAAAATGTGTCTATGTCCTACTCTCTTCTTCCCTTAAGGAGCCCAGTCATAATATACTAGGGATCTCCAGTTCTAGCGACCTATTTGAACTTAATTACCTCTTCAAGGACTTATTTCCAAATGTAGTCACATTCCATTGAAAGGTTAGGTCTTCAACATACAAATTTGGGGTACTGGGAGGGGGACAAAATTTGGTCCACAGAGGTGTAATTAAGCCACTCACTCATTCCGGCTCATACAGCTGCATACTCTGAGGAGCTAAACTCATACTCAGGTCTTTGTGCCTCCCAAGTACAGAATTCTTTATTTCTTGTGACTTCCATTTTCTCATCCCAGCCAGACCCTCAGGAACCATCTGGCCAAACAACACCACTGCACCTGCTAGGCTGGGAGCCACCAGACACACAAAAGGAAAAAGATGCATGGCTATACCTTAATGTATGACCCAGGACAGACAAGAAAGAAAGCAAAAACAAGAGCATAAATTATTATAAGAGCCACCGTAATCATTTAGTAAATAGTAATTCCTTTCTCTCCCTTTGAACAAGGCCCATAGCAGCATATGAGAAGCAACATAAGAAAGAGATGAGGAAAACACGAGCTGGTTGCAAAGGAGGGTGAGATTGCAATCAGTGAGGGTGGGGTTGGCAGTTGGAGAAGGGGAAAGAGAGAAGGAAGATAGGATCCCCAAGGGTTTCCAGGATATGTTTGCACACAAGAATCCAACTGAAAGGAGATGAGTCCTGGCTTTACCACCCCTAGGCTTTGTCATCATAGGCAACATACTTAGCCACGGTTTTCTCATTTTTCAAACGGGAAGACAGATGGAGCATGCCTAATCTGAAAATCCAAAAGCTGAAACTTTTTGAGTGCCTACATGAAGTCACAAGAGGAAAATTTCACACTTGACTGCATGTGATGGGTCACTGTCAAAACACAGGCAAACTAAAAATATCGTGGAAAATTACCTTTAGCTATGTGGTTAAATTGTATATGAAAAATAAATGAACTCCATGTTCAGAATTGAGTCCCATCTGCAAGATATATATATGAAAACCTTTCAAAATCTAAAAAATCCAAAATCCTGATCCTAAACATTTCAGATAAAGGACACTCCAGTTATATGTATGGCTTTCATAGATCTCTTGTGAGGAACAAATGGGATACTACTACTATTAGCTACTATTTCCTAAGATGTCTCAAGAAATGGGTAGAACTTTTGTAAAAAGAGAAAGGGAGGATAAATTGTAGGTAGAACTGAGATTCACAGCAGGACTGAGCTGAAAGAAGCACCTCAACTACTCACTATAATTAATAGAAAATTAATTTTTTAACCCACTTGAGTTGGGGTACTCGACTGCTTATGTCCAGGGTATTCTGAAACACTTCCATTAACTGTAATTGTTAAGTCAGAAGAACATCCGGTTTTCAGAGGCTATGAATTCATATCAGTTTAAAAGCACAAGTATAATCTGAGAGAAAGAAAGCAAAATTCTAGATCTGAAGAAAGTGTTAAATGGGTGGATTGATCGATTGATTGATTGGGGAGTTGCATGCTCAGAGATGAAGTCTGAAGTCAAAGGGGAAATGCATAGAGAATGCAGAGAAAAGTCTTAGTTAACTGGACTCTACATTAGCAGGAAGAAATGGAAATCAGTGAAGGAGACGGAGGGGGGGAGGGGGGGGGCTAAAAATGCTTCAAATGCTGCCATGCAAACTAAGGTCAAGTTTCTGTCACTATAACAAATATCAGAGACAATCAAAAATAAGAGAGGTTTACTTTGCCTCACAGTTTGGAGGTTTCAATCTATGATGAATGGGTTCTGTGGCTTTGGGGCCTGTGGCAAGGCAGCACATTATGGTGGGGAGCAGGTGGTGGAGCAGACCATTCACCTCATAGCCTAGAAGTGAATTAAAGGAAGAGGAAGGGACTAGGATCTCATGATCCCCTTTGAGGCTGCACCTCTCAAAGACCTAAAGACCTCCCACTAGTTTCCACATTCCCAACAGAGCCAAGGGTTGGAGATCAAGCCTTTAACACATGGGCATGGAGGACATTAATCCAAACCATAGCATAGACCAAGAAGAGGATTCAAAAAGAAAGGTGTTAAAGTCCACATCAAATTCCACAAAGAAACAAAGTAGGAAATTACAAAGATGTGGTTAGGTAGAGAAAAACTACATGGTCCTCATAGGGAGAAGATTAAACAGAAACAAATCTAGTTTTAGTGGAGTGGGGTAGTGTTAACGAAAGCCAGATATGAGATGTGAGTGGGAGAGAGCATTGAGCAGCATCGATGAAGTAATGGGATCTCCTTGCAGAAGGATAATAGTTGTGAAAAACATCACTCTGTTTACCAGTATCTGGTCCTGCTCCTCTTGCGGTCACATGGAAGATGTTTCTTCTCAATGCACTTGCATTTTGGAAGAGCCATGTGGCAGTTCCTTAGTAAAATTTTTCTGGGCTGAGATAGTTAAAAAAGTCCATGCCTATCCTTTTAATCTCTCTTTGTCATAGTGATCAAAGAGGAGGCCCTGCACATAGATAAGACAGACAAAGATTGAAGGCTGTTGACTACTGAGGGTCTACTGAATAGAGGAGAGCTACTCTCAAGGAAAGTCCCTCATCTTCCATGGCCATGCACAAGAACTCTCAGTAAGTCACTGAGGTATAAGTGTTGTTTGTTATCACAGCAAAACCTAGTTCTATTCTTATTAATATAGAGTGAAAGGTGGTGGGGGGGGAGAAGGAAAGAGGCTAAAGAATGTAACAAAGTTGAGAAAAGGAGATTTTTGGTTTTGTTCTTGACTTTTAAATTTTTGTGGTGGATGAGATCCAAGCATGTTTATTAGGAAAACTGAAAGAGCCACTATAAAGGAAGAACCTGAGGATGATAAAGCAATGTCCTAAAGAGAACAGAAGATACGGCAACACATAAGCCATGAGCCCTTGCCCTTCATCTAAGAAAGAGGTAAAACTCCAGACTCAGGAGGAATGCCCGGCAGCCTGAGTTAGAGGGGAAGTTGAGGGAGCCCACTCTCATGGGCCCACGCACTTGACTTCAGAGACAAGCAAGCAAAGGCTGGAATTTGGAATCCCTGGTGTGGAGCAATTTCAAGGGATGACGAGCGTCTAAGACTGAAATAACCATGCGTGCGATGATTGCCTTTGCACATCAGCCTCCTGGCAGCTGTCCATGTAAGATGACTGGCAAAGACTGGTACAGACTGCATTTCACTCTTTGGGTTTAAATTCTATAGGCATTCCTTAAACAGAATCCACGTTATTTAAAAAATGAAATACATGCCCAGAAAGGGTTAAAATTACTCCTTTTCTTGGTTCTTGATCCCCACCCCCACTGTTTGCCTATGTCCTTTAACTAAATTAGTTATTCCATTGACAGGCCAGTGCTGGTCCCCACACAGAATAACACATGCT